GACTTTTTATTGCTCCCGCAGTACACTGGCAATGTGTGCTTACTGATAGCTTGAAGGTCCTAGGGTTTTCACTGTAACGCCAGATCTCAAAGGGTTTCAATCTGTAGCTTGAGACACTGCTTCCAAGCAAAACTGTTATCTTGTCCTTAAAAGCCTTGAAATATAACATTGACTTAGCCTCTTTACGTATGAAAATCCTTTCTGGAATCTGTTTCCAGAATAGAAAGGTTTTATCCATATTGAATATTTGCGCTGTCAGGTAATTTTCCTCCATAATCAACTTATCTAGAGTTTCCAATAATTCTTCAGCTGCCTTCACATAAGCACTTGCAGACTTCCCATTCACTTTCACATTATGTAATGAATAATAATTTTGCATAATTTAAACCACCCAGTAAATTCAACATTGTAGTTGGTTCCAGACTTCTCTTTCAACATTGCAAACAAACTTTTTGCTTTGGTTGTGATCATGGTGCTACAAGAGATATGCTTCAGTGCCTGGTCTTCAGTCCAGGTCATTAGAAGTTTCTCCATGTCTGATATAGGCCCTTTTAGAATTTTTGTTAGTCTCGTTGTCTTTAATGAAGAAGATCCTGTAACAGCTTCCATCACTTTGTTGTTGTTCTTCAAGATTGTAGCTATGATGAAATGGGACATGCCTGACTGGCAAGAAATAACTATCCCGGATTTTCTACCTTTGTAATCTTTAATCACTTTAAATTTCATTTCCAGGTCAATCACTCAACATGGCTTTTTATGACAACATTAGTGGTGGATTTTGTATGCTTAGGGGCCTTGATGAACAAAACAACATGAGATTAAATCAAGCACAAGAGAAAATGATGCAATCAAGAGACACTATAAACAAAGTATATGAAGCCACTGCCAGCGTAACATTGCATACAGCTTTACAGCGATTTTTTCATAAGTAGAAAGAGTACGCTCTAAAATAACAATAAAATTACTATAAATATATAAACTATTAACATACTTATTAGCAAGTATTACATTGTATACATAATTGTATGTGCTATACTTTTTTTTAAATTTTTATGTTTTAATCCTCACCTGAGTACATCTTTCCATTTTTTGTTAAGATAGAGTGGGAGTGAGAGAAAGAGAGAGAGAGAGAGAGAAACATGAAAGAGACACATCGAGTGGCCGCCACCTGCACGGCCCAACTAGGGCTGGGGACAAACTGCAACCGAGGTACATGCCCTTAGCGGGAACCGAACCTGGGTCTCTCTGGACCGCTCTAACTGCTGAGCCAAACCGGCCAGGGCTGTGCTATACTTTTACATGAGTGGAAACCCAGTAGTTTTGCTTACCTTTGATACCTCTGTCCTGTTTCTGATCAACAACTTCACTATTAAATATTTGATAGGATTTGGTTAAAGATTATGTATGTAAATATATGTGCATATGTGTGTGTGTGTGTGTGTGTGTGTGTGTATGTGTCTTTAGGTGAGGGCATTGTGATTGAAGTATATTTGAAACTATTACAATTCAGTAACAAAGAAAATTAATGTCTACACCAATGAAAACCAGTTACAACAAAAGCAATGGCATCACAGTGCTGATCTCAAGTGAAAAAGGTACTAATCTGGCCTCAATGGTTGTGGCCACCCTCCCTCTTGTCCCACCATTTTCCAATAACCTGAGTTCCAGACAAAGTCTACTTTTGTAGTATAGGAAATTTTGATTTGCAGAAAAATAATAAATCTAGATAGAGTTTTCTAGCTTAGGAGACACAATGACTAGGGAGGAAAGGGGAAACAAAACTATATTCTATAGTGTGTATAACATAATATCCACGATATGTATGGTACAGTCCAAATTATCAGACATATGAAGAAACAGGAAAATGTGAGCCATTCTAATGAATGAAGACCAACTTTAAAGTGCAGCAGATGTTGGTATTATCAGACAAAAACTTTAAGGCAATTATTGTAACTAAGCTCAGTGCTTAAAGGAAAGGAAACTAAAATGCTCATAGTGAATCAAAAGAGGAAATATCAGCAATGAAATAGAAGATATAAAAAAGTAGCAAGTAGAGAATTATCTGATTAAAAATAACTTATGGACTTAATTACTAAATGAAAATTAGAGAGAAAAGGAGCAGTTAAATGCATAATAGATCAATAAGAATTATCCAATTTGGAATCTAGAGAAAAAATTATTGACCAAAAAAAAAAAAAAAAAACCAAAAAGAAACACACACACAACAAAATAGAGGCTCAGAGACATGTGGGACAATACCAAAAATTCCGTACATGGTAACTGGTATCCCAGAAAGAGAGGAAAGAGAGAAGATAGAGAAGAAAAACATATTTGAAGAAATACAAGGCTGAAATTTTCCCAAAAATTTATAAAAGATATAAATTTATAAATTTAAGACGTTCTGTAGCTCAGTGGAGAACCCTACTTGGATAAACTTGAAGAAATAAGCCTAGGCACATCATTGTCAGATTGCTGAAAATAAAAGATTAAAAAAATTTTTTTAAACAGCCAGGAAAAAAATAACACATTATATAAGAGGAACCAAAAATCAAAACACTACACATTTCTCATTCAGAAACTATGTATGCCAGAAGACAGTGAAACAACACCTTTAAACTATTAAGCACCTTATAAACAACATACACAGAATCAACCCAGAAATCTACATTCAGCCAAAATGTACTTCAAGAATGGAAGAAAAAAAGGAATTTTCACATAAAGACAAGGTAAATGGATTAATTTTCATTACAAGAAATGCTAAATAACGTTCTTGTATCTTCAGGAACAAATGAAAAGCACTGGAAATAACAAGTAAGAGAAAATACAATAGAATATTTTCTCCTTAATTAAAAAATACTTAAGACTACTTAAAGCAAAAATTGTAACAATATATTTAGATATAATACATATAACTATTGCATAAAGGACAGTGGGTGAAGGTAAATAAATCTATACAGTTCTGAGAGTTCTACATTTTATGTGAAGTGTCACAATGTTAACTCTAATAGACTGTGAAAAGTTAAGGAAGTATATTGTCATCCGTAGAGCAACTAATTTTTAAAAAACTGTGAAGATAAAATACCTATATGTGGATTGAAAAGAAATCCAAATAAAAACATTAAAATAATCCAAAAGAAGGCAAAAAAAAAAATAATAATAATAAGATAAAAGGAACAAAAAATGATTGGACCAACAGAAAACAAAAATAAATTGATACAACTAAACCCAAACCACCACTAATTACATTTAATATTAATGAACTTAACACCCCAACTAAATTATATGACTGGATAAAAAAGCAAGACAGTAGACATAAGGAGTGCCTAATAATAAAGCCTCAAAATATATGAAAGAAAAAAGGTCAAAATTAAAGTAAAAAGTAGACAATTCTATCATGTTAGAAAATTTTAATATCACTCTCAGGAATTGATAGTGCTAGTCAACTATCAGTAAAATCACAGATGATCTGATTAATGCTATTAACCACCTTGACCTATTTGAGTTTTCAAGTATATAAAGCAGAAATGAACATAATTACAAGAAAAATCCATAATGATAGAGATTTTAATTCATTTTTCTCATAACTGAAAAAATCAAACAACCAAAACGTAAGCAAAGATTTAGACAGTACAAAGAAAAAAACACGATTTCAAGCTTAACCTCTTGTAATAGAAAAAGTACATTCTTCTCAAGCACACTTGGAACTTTATAGTAATTAATTGTGTATGTCCAATTATAAAGCATATCTCAGTAAATTCTATAGAACTAGTATCATGACACATTCTTTGACTACAATTTCAAAATCTATAATAAAAACATTTTTAGAAGTTAGAAATCACATGTCTAACTCATAGGTAAAAAGTAGAATTATAATAGGGATTAGAAAATACCTCAAATTGAGTATTAACAAAAATTATATAGTAGTAATGAAATTATATATAGAAATTTGTAAGATACAGTTTAAGTAGTACTTAGAGAAAATTTTTTTATTTTAGAAAGTAAAAATAGTTGAAACAAAAGGAAACTAAATGAATCCAAAGAATGTAGATAGATATAACAATGAAAGAAGCCTCTATTGTCACAATCACTGACACTGGCTTAACTATATCATAGTGAGGCAGCAGGAATTTAATTTGATTTATGTTTTGAGAGATGCAGATCCTGATGTTTTCAACAACCAGTGAACAGAACCTTATCAGGTTTAAAAATATAAATATGATAAAATATATGAAAGTATCAATTACCCAAAAGAGCCAAAAAGAACTTGTTGAGCCCTGGCCGTTTGGCTCAGCAATAGAGCATTGGCCTGTGGTCCAGAGAGACCCGGGTTTGGTTCCCGCTAAGGGCACGTGCCTCGGTTGTGGTTTGTCCCTGGCCCTGGTTGGGTCGTGAGGGTGGCAACCACTCAATGTGTCCCTTTCACATCAATGTTTTTCTCTCTCTCTCTCTCCCTTCCCACTCTATCTGAACAAAAAATGGAAAAATGTCCTCGGGTGAGGATAAAAAAAAAAGGTGACTGTTGAGAAGAACAGAAATAGCAAAAATAATACAACCTATAATAATAATAAATTAAGTCCTCATAATTTAGTGGAATCAAATGCAGAAATGAAAAGTGGGAGAACTAGAAAACAATAGACTGTAAAGCAGTATAGGAAGTAGGTCTGAAAGTCAGATATAGCCATTCTCTCACTAGCTCCTTAACACTTAAAACTGGCCAACTGTCTTTTATTACCTCCTTTGTTTCAGATACATCAACCACCCATTATCCAATTTTTGGTTGGGAAGGTTTACATAAGTATCACTTACAAAGTACGAAAGTGGATAGATAGGAAGTTTGAGGCAAAATGTGGGGAATCTGAATGAGGTATAAAAGAGATATTTAGAATCAGAAGCTATGTCCCATCACCTCTTTCTACCAAACACATTGATACCACCTCTTTTAGTTTAAATCAAGGCACTGTACTTCTAGAGTTCATTTCTTTTGAAAGCATACATCTTACCATGTGGAATTGTGGTCTGGAAAGGACGACTCGGACTTTTCAGGTTCCATAAAGTCAAGCTACCATCTGAGTGGCTGCACATGAACTGTTTGCCCTCATGATGCCAATCAATTGAATGAATAGCCTAATGAAATAACAATTAAAAACAAGTAGGATGAGAGAAAGTTGATGTTATACCATTCTATATTTCAAAGGAAAAATACTGACATAAAATTATTATAGCAATAACACTTAAACATATAAAATTTTTCTGACCTAGATCATACTATCTTTGGTTCATCCCACTATGGGCTTATAAAAGGCTACAAAAATAGCCCTGGCCGGTTTGGCTCAGCGGTTAGAGCGTCGGCCTGCGGTCCGGAGAGACCCGGGTTCAGTTCCCGCTAAGGGCACGTACTTCGGTTGCAGTTTGTCCCCGGCCCTGGTTGGTCGTGCGGGTGGCAGCCACTCGATGTGTCCCTTCACATCGATGTTTCTCTCTCTCTCTCTCTTCCTCTCTCTCCCTCCCACTCTATCTGTACGAAAAATGGAAAAATATCCTCGGGTGAGGATAAAAAAAAAAAAAAAAAAAAAAAAAAAAAAAAAAAGGCTACAAAAATAAAAAACCTATTTGAAACAATAATAGCAGAAAAGTTCCCTAACTTAGTGAAAGAAACAGACATACAAGTCCAGGAAGCACAGAGAGTCCCAAACAAGATGAACCCAAAGAGGATCACACCAAGACACATCATCATCAAAATGCAAAAGGTTCAAGACAAAGAAAGAATCTTAAAAGCAGCAAGAGAAAAGCAGTTAGTTACCTACAAGGGAGTTCCCATTAGACTGTCAGCTGATTTCTCAAAAGAAACTTTGCAGGCCAGAAGGGAGTAGCAAGAAATATTCAGAGTGATGAAAAGCAAGAACCTACAACCAAAATTACTCTATCCTGCAAAGCTGTCATTTAGAATTGATGGCCATATAAAGAGTCTCCCAGACAAGGAAAACCTAAAGGAGTTCATCACCACCAAACCATTATTATGTGAAATGTTGAAGGATCTTCTTGAAGAAAAAGATAAAAAATATGAACAAATAAAATGGCAATGAATACATATCTATTGACAATTGAATCTACAAACAAAATGAACAAGCAGAACAGAAACATTCTCATAGATATAGAGAACATTTTGTTGGTTGCCAGATGGGAGAGGGGATGGGGGAATAAGTGAAAAAGGTGAAGTGATTAAGAAGTACAAATTGGTTGCTAGACTGACAAACCTCAAAGGGAAGGGGGGTTGGGGGTGGAAAGAAATAAACCAAAGAACTTATATGCACATATGCATAACCAATGGACCCAGACAACAGTGTGGGAAAAGGTGGGAGGGGGGTGGAAGTGGGGAGGAGGGGGTCAATGGGGAAAAAATGAGGAACATCTGTAATATATTCAACAATAAAGATTAAAAAAAATATTTAGGAAGCAAAAAAAAAAAAAAAGCTACAAAAACTCATCTCATGAGATAAATTAAAAAAGAAAAGATAAGTAAATTTTCTAACATCATTAGATCCCAGAACTTGTAAGTTCTATATTCTTCCTGTATCCTATAATGTTTCTTTGGAAAATTATTTACATAGAAGTAAAAGTAAGGTTATCAAAGATAATTTCTGATAAGGTAGTGGCCTAGTTCCACTTAACGTAGCTAATTTAAAAAATAATTTACATGAGAGCCACCATCTGGGAGTGTACAAGTCAGACCAATTTATGTACATTATTTCTTTTCATCCTGTAAAGCAGGTATTATTTTTTCCAATTTACACATGGCAAAACAGGCCTAGAGAGTTTGAGATACTTGCTCAGGTCATACAACTCAAAGCCAATGTCTGTCTAACTACAAAACTCATATTCTGAGTCATTGTACCATAATGCTTCTGACATAAATTATTTAAATTAATTTAAAGAAAGAAGAATTTAAATTATTTTTTATATATTTACAGGTTCACTGTATAGTTGTGAATTAGATAAAATTAAAAAGTATTATTCCATTTTCCTAAATTTATTCCCAGTAGTAGCACAGTATCTCACATAAAGTAGGTGTTCTAGTAGACATAAAAGCTGAACAGATGTATACAACATGATCTTTTCCTTAAGACAATTTAGAAAACAGTGAGATAGGTAAGACTGATGTGAATGAACTTCCAAACAGTAAGTATTATTAGAGTTACATATAATTGACAGCTAGAGCAATCATTAGACATATTATAAAGAAAATAGGATATAAGCTGTACTTCAAAAACTAAGTCAGATTTGAGTGGAAAAGATAACATGAAACTCTGGACTTATGTTTTTCTCTCACTCTGGTCTTCATTACTAGGCAGAGAAGACTTCTTTTTTTGCCAGGGTTCAGAGGAGGCAGTTACAGGAGGGAAAAAAAACAAAATCACTTTTGCAGATGGCTCAAGGGAAATGTCACTTCTTCTGGCCACCTCTACATGTTAACTTGGATGAACCTCAGTTCATTTCAAGTTCTCTCAGACTGCTTTTCTTCATATGGTGAGGGCAGAGAAAGTGTCCCCGGCCCTAACCCTTTCTCCTATCCCAGTAAATTTCTACTTACTGAGAAGACAGATATCAAAATAATAGCTACAACACAAAACCAAAACAAGTAAATACTATAAAAGAAGTCTACTTATTGTACATAAGAGTAGACGTGTAAAACTAACTTATAAAGGAGGATGTCAAATAATTCATTATTGAAAAGATGGCATTTTAATTGATTTAAAGAATAAATATTTGATTTCCATTTATTTGTTATATCCTATTCTTTTATTAAAAAGGATTTTAAAGGTCTAAATCCAAATATAATACAACTAATTCATACAGAATTTAAAAAGATAGAAAATATATGGAAGATAAAACACTAGCCAGTTCAGTCAACTCAGTGGCTGTGATTGAATTTCTTGAAAACAAAAATGAAACCCAAAAAGCTGAGTAACGATGTGAAAAAAAGAAATGTCAGTTACTCAGGGAATAAAAAGGTAAGCCGCATGTCAAACTCTGAGGGATTTCTCTCTGAGAGATTATTCAAGGAATATTAATGTAATAAGACAAAAATTCCACAGCTAATGTGAAAGTAAAATTCATATAGTTATTTCTGAAAATGAGCTTGAGTTTAAATTGAAAAAAAAAAACCAACAACTCTCAATTCATCAATGGCTATTAATCAAGGGACTAGTCAGATAGTACAAGTAGTTTTATAATGGCTAAAGAATTAATAGATTTTTTATATACAGAAGAGAAAAGGGGAACTCAGGATAAGAAATTAACAGGAACAAAGGCTTGGAGGCAGCAATAAATTATATGTAGGAGATAGTGAGTAATATGCCTGAATTGTGAGGAGTATGTAGAAAAATGCAATAAATGAAACTTAAGGGAAAAAATGGCACCGGGGTCCTAAATCTTATGTCAAGAATAAAGACTTTAGCCTGGCCAGTGTGGCTCAGTGAATTGAGCATCATCCTGAGAGGTCTTGGTTCAATTCCTGGTCAGGGCACATGCCCGGACTGTGGGCTTGATCACCAGTAGGGAGCATGCAGGAAGCAGCTGATCAGTTTCTTTCTCACATCCTTTCTCTCTCCCTTCCTCTCTCTAAAAAAAAGAAGAAATAGACTTTGTATTGTTGAAAAATTGGGAGTCATTCAAAGGTTCACAGGTGTAGAATTACATTATTTGACTATGTCTTAAAATGATCATCTTATTAGTAAAATATATACTGAAAAGCCCTGGCCACCTTGGTTCAGCAGTTAGAGCATCAGCCTGAGGTCCAGAGAGATCCAGGTTTGGTTCCCACTAGGGGCACGTACCTCAGGTGCAGTTTGTCCCAGGCCCTGGTTGGGTTGTGCAGGAGGCGGCCACTTGATGTGTCCCTTTCACGTCCATGTTTCTCTCTCTCTCTCTCTCTCTCTCTCTCTCTCTCTCTCTCTCTCTCTCTCCCCCCCTCCTTCCCACTCTATCTGAACAAAAAATGGAAAAATGTCATCAGGTGAGGAGATACACACACACACACACAAATCAATATTTAAAATAATTTCTAGGCCCTGGTCGGTTTGGCTCAGCGGTTAGAGCATCGGCCTGCAGTCCAGAGAGACCCGCAGGGTTCAGTTCCCACTAAGGGCACGTATCTTGGTTGCATTTTGTCCTCGGCCCTGGTTGGGTCATGTGGATGGCAGCCACTAGATGTGTCCCTTCCGTGTCGATGTTTCTCTCTCTCTCTCTTCCTCTCTCTCCCTCCCACTCTATGTGAACAAAAAATGTCCTCGGATGAGGATAAAAATAAATAAATAAATAAATAAATAAATAAATAAATAAATAAATAAATAAATAAATAAATAATTTCTAGGTAGAAAGTAGGTATAGTGTAGTTTTCCATTGACACTAAAACATGATCAGTCCTTATTTAAACATTTATTGTAAAATGACTTCTGCTCACTTTCTAAGGCTAGAAACATTCCTTCTACACTGTTTAACACAGTAAGAAAACTATCTGCTTCAGCATTTTTCTCTGGATTTTCTTTTCTTTTTTTTTTTTATCCTCACCCGAGGACATTTTTCCATTTTTTGTTCAGATAGAGCGGGAGGGAGAGAGAGGAAGAGAGAGAGAGAGAGAAACATCGATGTGAAGGGACACTTCAAGTGGCTGCCACCCGCACGACCAACCAGGGCCGGGGACAAACTGCAACTGAGGTACGTGCCCTTAGCGGGAACCGAACCCGGATCTCTCTGTATGCTCCAACTGCTGAGCCAAACCGGCCAGGGCTGGATTTTCTTTTTAGCTATTCTACTCTAGATCCAACTGGCTAAATTCCCAGATGGTATTTGGATTCTTATCTAGCTCCTTAGTCTTGAGAAAGGAAGCAATCTCCATTCCTATCCTTATATTCTGCATGTTTAACAAAATGAAAATCCTTCTTACCTTATGATTTAAGATGCCCCAAAAGTTCATCATAAAGAGCATATTTGTATAATATTACTTGCCAGAGTATTTTTCACCAATCATGCCCACATTACCTGTAAACCTTCAGCTATCTTTAAGCATTAAAACTTACAAATTTAACTGTTAACAGGGAATTGGAGAGAGCACACTAAGGAAGTGTTCCAAAAGAAATGTTTTTTTAAAAAAATTTTTTTTCTATTAATATCAGTGTTACCTTACATTCTTTTGCACTCTTCCCATATAAGCATGGATGATTCCAGACAGTGATTTTTGACCTAACTATTCCTCCTATCTCTCCCCACCTTTATTTTCACAGCTATAAGAGGTAATGCCCCTTTCTCACCTTTGCCCCCAGCCTCACTGTCTTCACATTAGCCTTTCCTTATGGGGGATATAATTAATGGCCTAGAATTAATCTCTGAACATCTTAAGTATCAATTCAGAGACTATTTCTTGATAAACAGGAGTTCATTGCTTTCTCTAAATAAAACCCTAATCAGTCTCAATTATGTACAATAAAACTTCAAGATTTTACTGACTCTTATTATTAAGTATTACTGTTTACCAATCTCTCTTTATTCCAAGGCAGCAAGTATTAGAAGATAAGACTGTTCAACTTGACCACTTAAATTTGATGCCACAGAAAAAGAATCTTCACCCTGGCTGGTTTGGCTCAGCGGTTAGAGCATCGTCCTGCGGTCCAGAGAGACCCGGGTTCGGTTCCCGCTAAGGGCATGTGCCTTGGTTGCAGTTTGTCCCCGGCTCTGGTTGGGTTGTGCGGGAGGCGGCCACTCGATGTGTCTCTTTCACGTTGATGATTCTCTCTCTCTCTTTCCCTCCCACTCTATCTGAGCAAAAAATGGAAAAATGTCCTCAGGTGAGGATAAAAAAAAAAAGAATCTTCTAAGGAAAGTTGTGAATAGTGTCTTTAGAGACCTTAAGGACAATGAGTCAAGGCAAAAGCACAGAGCCTAAAGAAAGGAAAAGTTTAGATGAAGGTGGCTATACAGTATAGGTAATAGCCACCAAAGTATATAAGATGCCATAAAGTGCCTCAAAATGGGCAGTCAAGGCAGAATTCCCACTCAGGAAAACAACCCAGAGTTGAAACTTAAGCAAATATCAACAGGCAATGTGAGGCACTGAGTCAGAACCAGGCAGTGTTCCAATGATTAAGAAGACTGGTGACATACAAAGCTTAACAGCAAAAAACAGGCACAAAGTCACAACACCGTTTCAAATCACTTACCTCATCATAATAAACTCTCAGTTCTGCTCTTTTAGATTTCAAGTCCCAGAATACCACAGTACCATTTTCATAACCTATTAGAAGCTGGAAAACATTAAAACAACCATTTTGTAATTCTAACATTAATTCTAACTTGTTCCAAATAAAGTTTAATGTTAATACAATAAAGCAAAATCATATTACATAATACAACTTTATTTAGAAAACTAATTTTTCCAGATCCTGACTATAGACTTCTTACATTTAAAAAAAACTGTCAAATACGCTACTTCAATATAAACATTTACCAATTAAATCTGTCTTATTTCAAAGAGAAATTGAGAAAATATGTAAAAATACATGACACAACATAAAAATAAATAAGAAAATTGAAACAAAAGAAAAAAAGGGATAAAAAAATGAAGATGAAATAAAGGATAAAATGAGGTGTTATAAATTATGTATAATGCCATTCAGTCCTATGCACTTGAAAAATGTGGCTAAAACTTTGGCATCGAGTTTCTTTATATCAAATCCTATTTTTTCTTTGATTCATAACAGCATTTAAAATTCAGATTTATGAATGCTTGGAAGGTCACAAAGGTATTCTAAAGATTCAGATAATTAAAAATGGTTAATATTTGTTTATAAATCAATAAATAATACTATTGAAATACGTTCTTCATTTAAAAATAAAAAAAAAATATGAGAACAGATGAGTAGAAGATCTATTCAAGACTCTACCAGTGCTAGCCATGCTGATGATTTTTGCTATGATTCTGATGATTATGTTTCATTAAATTTAATCTATCATTGATTTAAAAAATAGGAAGGATAAAAATAGGCCACTGTTCAAATAATGATAATATTTCCCATGGATTTCCCTTATGATGACTTTCTAGAAATCCAATAGTAGTGTTTCTCGGACGCAAACTGTTATATAGTGTGATGTTTCAATATTCTAAAAAAATGGTGGTAAAACAAAATATAGTGATGGTTATAAGCTGCTCCTACATAGCACCCTGAAACGTAATCACTTACCTCAATATTTAATCACAGAGCACACAAAAATAACAAGCTAGGTAGTAGTTTTAACAGGAAATAAAACAAATTTTCAAATATCAGGTCAGCAAAGCTACAGATGTTTATTTTTGAAGCTATAACATATACTTACTTTGTTTTTAAAACAAACAACACATTTTAAAACTGATTTGACAAAATAATTGAGCTTCTTTACAAACTAAATTAAAATAAAGTGAATGGCATAATGATTTGTTAAATTTAAAATGTCAAAATTATGTATAAATTTAAAGAATACTTCTTAAAATAAAATTTACAATCATACTTACTGTACTAAGATGTGTTTTAACTTCAAATAAATTCCTTTTACATACCAGAGAAAATAACAAACAATAAAACAAATTCCTATGTAGTATATGAGAAAAAATTCCTATAAAGTATATGGAAAAGAGATTTGTAAATCTAGAAAGTTTGAAGAATATGACTTAAGCAAGAAAATGAATAATATACCTTTCTTAATCTAAGCCAAGGATTTAAAATAGTATTCTAAAATGCTGAGATTCCAAAATGGCAACAGAGTGAATGGAAGCTACACAGACCATCTCCCGGGACCAAACTGGAATTACAACTAAAATAGAGACAAATCGTCTGGAAGCGGCAACAGAAAAGCAGCTTGCGAGGACCACATAACCAGGGATGCTGAATCGATCCTAGTAGGTCAGTGGAGGTGCGAGAGGGGGCCTGGGAGCCCATAGACAGCAGTGGTCTGAGCTGTGAGCAACACTCTCAGGGTTAAACTCCCAAGAAGCTCAACAGAACAGAGCCAGGACAGAGCGCTAAAAGAGCCAGAGCCACTCACCCTGGGGTCCGGCAGAGGGAGGGCAGACTGGACTGGAACTGTGTGGGGAACTCAGGATTTGGAGGGTGCTCAGAGCTTTTGCTGAGTTGCGGCCACACAGAACTAATCTTACGAATTCCCAGGGCTCTGGGGAGAGGTGGTGGCCCCTCTCTCGGAGATTCAACTCTTCCTGGTGGACCATTGAAATGCAAATTGAGGCCCATTAACAACCAGCATCTGCCCCACCCTCAGTAAATACCCTTATGCTGAACACCTGAAGGAGTTTTTCATTAAACTGAGAACTCAAGGCTCTTCAAGTAACTGCAACTAATAGCATCAAGTCAAAAAGCAAGAGAATAACTGAACCATTCCTAGGCTTGCAACTCTACCCAGGAAAGTAAGACTTGACAGTGGTGTTTAATGTGGGTCCTCTCATGCTCATCCAAACCCAGTAGAGGGAGCCACAAACAGCAGAACGCCAACACCCACAAGGAAAATTTGGCAGGCTCCAAAACCCACTGAGATAGCCAGAATGGTGAAACAAAGAAACAAATGCCAAATGCAAGACCAAGAGACCTCTACCGAAGATGAGATAAATGCAGTGCAGTAAAGCAAGTTAACAGAGCTAGAATTCAGAGCCATGATCCTGAGAAAGCTCAACAGCATGTGAAATGACAGCAACACCATGAGCAAAGACATAGAAACATTGAAAATCAACCAACTGGAAATTAAAAACCACCAAGAAGAAATAAATAATGACATAGCAAAAATAGAAAACACACTGGAAGGACTAAACAACAGAGTAGAGGAAGCTGAGGACTAGATAAGTGAATTAGAAGACAGGGTAGAAAAAAAAAATCAACTAATCAGAAAACCAAAAGGAAAAATCAATTAAAAGACAGGAAGACAGCTTAAGAGAAGTGTGGGACAATTAGAAAGGTAATAATATTCGCATCATAGGAGTCTCAGAAGAAGAAGAAAATGAGCAAGTGTTAGAGAATATATTTGAAGAAATAGTGACAAAAAACTTCCCTAATTTGGTGAAGGAAGAAGGCATTCAAGTTCAAGAAGCACAGAGAGCCCCAAGTAAGGAGAATCCAAATAGGCCCACACCAAGACACATAGTAATTAAAATGCCAAAAATTAAAGACAAAGAGAGAATCCTAAAAGCAGCAAGAGATAAGCAACAGGTTACCTACAAAGGAACCCCCATAAGGCGCTCAGCTGACTTCTCAACAGGAGCACTACAGGCCAGAAGGGAATGGCATGAAGTAATGAAGGTCATGAAAAACAAACATCTGAATCCAAGACTACTTTACCCAGCAAGGATATCATTCAAAATAGAAGGTCAAATAAAAAGCTTCCTAGACACACACACACACACAAAAAAAAAAAAAAAAAAAAAAAAGGCTACGGGAATACCACCAAACCAGCACTGCAAAAAATGTTAAAAGGAGTGCTGTAATTAGTAGAAGAAATAGAAAAAAAGATATAACCACACTAAACAAAAATGGCAATAAATAAGTACATATCAATAATTACCTTAAACATAAATGGATTCAATGCTCTGATAAAAAGACACAGAATAGCTGATGGATAACAAAGCATGACTCATATATGTTGTTTACAGGAGACCCACCTAAAAACAAAAGAGTCACATAGCTTGAAAGTGAAGAGATGGAAAAAAATCTTCCAAGCAAACAGAAAGAAAAAAAAAAGCTGGGGTAGCAATACTCATACCTGATAAAACAGATTTCAAAATGAAGTCCATAATTAGAGACAAAGAAGGCGACTACATAATATTAAAAGGACTTATCCAGCCCTGGCCAGTTTGGCTTAGCGGTTAGAGTGTCCGCCTGCGGTCCGGAGAGACCGGGTTCGGTTCCCGCTAAGGGCACGTACTTCGGTTGCAGTTTGTCCCCGGCCCTGGTTGGTTGTGCGGGTGGCAGCCACTCGATGTGTCCCTTCACGTCGATGTTTCTCTCTCTCTCTCCCTTCCTCTCTCTCCCTCCCACTCTATCTGTACAAAAAATGGAAAAATATCCTCGGGTGAGGATAAAAAAAAAAAAGGACTTATCCAACAGGAAGATATAACCTTGGTAAACATATATACACCCAATATAGGAGCACCAACATACATTAAAAATCTTCTGGAGGACTTCAAAGAAGAAATCGATAGCAATACAATCATAGCAGGTGACTTCAACACGCTGCTGACATCACTTGATAGATCCTCTAGAAAAAAAATTAGCAAAGAAACAGAGACTCTAAATGAAGCACTCGACCAAATGGATTTAATAGATATTTACAGAGAATTATACCCCAAAACTAGAGAATTCACATTCTTCTCAATTGCACTTTGGACATTCTCAAAGACAGACCACATGTCAGGACACAAACTAAGCCTCTACAAGTTCAAAAAGACTGAAATCATATCAAGCATCTTTTCAGATCACATTGGCATGAAACTAGAAATCAACTGCAACAAGAACATGCAAAGACATTGGAACACAAAGAGGCTAAATAGCATGTTATTAAACAATGCATGGGTTACTGAGGAGATCAAGGAAGAAATCAAAAACTTCCTGGAAACCAATGAAAATGAACACACAACAACACAAAATCTATGGGATGCAGCGAAAGCAATTCTAAGAGGGAAGTTCATAGCACTATAGGCCTACCTCAAGAAACAAGAAAAAATTCTAATAGATGATCTAACCTCACAACTTAAAGAACTAGAAAGCAAACAAAAAGAAAACCCCAGAGCAAGTAGAAGAAAGGAAACAGTAAATATCAGAGCATAAATAAATGACACAGAGACCAAAAAAAAAAAAAAAATTCCAAGGATCAATGAAAGGAAGAGCTAGTTTTTCAAAAAGATAAACAAGATTGATGGATCCTTAGCTAGACCCAGCAAGAAACAAAGACAGAGAACCCAAATACACAAAATCAGAAATGAAAGAGGATAAATAACTGACACCACAGAAACACAAAAGATCATTAACAAATACTATGAACAATTATATGGCAACAAATTCGAAAATCTAAACAAAATGGACAAATTTCTAGAAAAACACAGTCTCACAAAACTATTCCCGAAAGAGATAGAAAACTTGAACAGACCAATAACAACTAAAGAAATTGAAGATGTAATCAAGACTCTCCCAACAAACAAAAGCCCAGGCCCGGATGGCCTCACGGGGGAGTTTTACCGAACATTCAAATAAGAACTAACACCCATTCTCCT